CCCTGGCCCCGTGTGGCTGCAGGCTGGCCATCAGGCCAGGGGCAGATGGAGCAGGAGGCCACTGCCTTGTGTCACCAAGCAGCTACACCGCTGTCTGTCCTGTGCCAGGCGTCTCGGGTCAGCTCCACTGCAGCTCTCAGGCTGCTGCCAGCCCTGCCACACAACCTGGCCAGGGGCCGTGTCCCTGCCCCAGCCAGCCCGTGGCTCCAGGAGCAGCTTCTCCCACACTGGGTAGGGCACCTGCCTCCCAGCCCAGGCCCTGAGGAACAGCAGCTCTGGGAAGGAGATCCCTCAAAAGGGTCCCATGCAGTGGTGCGAGGTGGAAGGACTCAAGAGACCCCAGAGGATCCCCTTTCCCCCTACAGCCATGGACAGGCAAGCAGAAGGTGGGCACTGCCTCCTTCCCCCCTCCAGCCCGGCTGGGACGGGTCTCTGCCTTCTGTCAGGAAGCCGGTTCAGGCAGGATGAGCAGGACGGGCAGGCTGCAGCACCTGCACCTGCCAAGCAGCACATCCCAGCCCTGGGAGGATCCCCCTGAGCCCTGTCAGCTCCTGTGGGGCCGGCTCAGCGAGGCTGTGGTGGGGCTGGGGCAAGTGGCTGGGGAGGAGCAGGGTTTGTGGGCTGCAGCTGCCCAGCCCTGCAGGGCAGGGAGCAGCCATCTGCCCCTGGCCTCCCTCAGAACACAGAGTACCATGAAGCACCATCCTGCCCGGTGCCAATCCCAGACACCGTGAGCAGTACAAGGAACCGTGGCCCCGGAGAGCTGGCACTAGGGTCAGCAGTCCACAGGGCAGCAAAACCAGCACCGAATCTCCCAGACCGCAGGGAGTGACAGGAGCTGACAACCCCAAAGGACACAAGGACCCACAGCCCATGGAGGCCCCGGGCCAGGCAAGGTGCTGGGAGAGCAGGATTAGCACCCATGAGGAGCAGCCCTGGGCTTGGCCCCGCTCCTGTCCCCACGGCTGCAAGGTGGGGTGGAGGAGTCCACGGGCCCAGGTCTAAATCCTGAGCTCGGCCTCCTCGGGCGGCTCCAGTGAGTGCTCAGCGCTGATGGCGGAGGCGGAAGGCCCCTGTGAGATGCCAAAGGGCGAGACCACGGGGGAGCGGGCAGCCAGCGGGGACAGCGAGGGGGAGAAGCTGGGCGACATGGCAGAGGACGAGATGGAGCCCTCGTGGCTGATGGGCGAGCGGCGCAGGGTGGACGGGAGCGGGAAGGTCCTGCCTGGTGGCGGCTTGGGGGGCACAGATTTGGCACCCGGGTGGGCCACTGAGGTGATGAGGGGCGGGGGGTCAATGCGGGGCTTGGGCTCTGCCTTGGGCTTGGTCGGGAAGGGCTTGCGCAGGGAGCTCTCATCCTTGAGGCGGGCAATCTCGGTGAAGACGCTGGCCAGCGGCTGGAACTGGGGGCACCAATTCAGCAGGTAATCCCAGTTGTA